CGCAATACAAAGTGTTGGTTGCTACCTTTAAAGCCCTACATGACTTGGATCCAAGTTACTTGAAGGAACACCTCTCCCTACATAATCTGTCCCGCACTCTCAGCACATCAGGGAAGTACTTATTGGAGTATTATAATACTAGATTAAAGTATCCAGAGATCGTTCACAGCCGCAGCTTGCAAACTATGGAACAGCCTGCTGGAGGAGAGCCGTCTTATTAATACACTAGAAGCCTTTAAGAAGGTGCTTAAGACGGAGCTCTATCGGCGGGCCTATCTACCTGACCTCCCCAATCTGTAAAAGATTAATTGTACCACCGATATGGCCCCTGGACATGTGAAGATGACGACCAACCTCGTCACCAGCTGGGGTACTGGTTTTAATTATAGGGATTGTGGGGTTTTATTGTTGGGGAGGGGTATTGTTGTTATGATTTTATTATATATTTTATTTTTATATTTTCTATATTACTCTATAATCCCGCCTCGATCCGTAGGGAGAGGCGGGAAAATATAAATAAAACTTATTATTATTATTGTGTAAATCCATTTCACTCTGGTTTCACTTCTGGTTATAATTACGTGTCCCTGTTGGTTCTGATGGACTTCTCAACTGCTTTTGATACCATCAACCATGGCATCATTCTGAGCTACGTATGTGAGATGGAACTTGGGGGCAGCGTTTTACAATAGCTTTCTTCCTTCCTAGAAGGATAAACCCAGAGAGTGGTGCTAGGAGCCCTGGTGGCGCAGTGGTTAAATGCCTGTACTGCAGCCACTTACCCATAAACCACAAGGTTGCAAGTTCAATACTTGCCAGGGCTGAGGCTTGACTCAGGGCTGCATCCTTCTGAAGTCGCTAAAATGAGTACCCAGCTTGTTGTGGGGCAATGAGCTTACAGTTGTAAACCGCTTAGATACTTCATAGCAAGGTATGAAGCAGTATATAAATGAAGCTGCTTTGCTTTGCTTTGCTAGGAGACTCCTGTTCGACCCCATGGTTGTTGGCCTGAGGGTCCCTCAGGTAAGGGTTCTGTCTCCCATGCTGTTGAACATATACAGTACCTAAAACTTCTGGGAGAGGTCATCCAGAGTTTTGGGCATGGTGCCATCAGTATGCAGATGATACCCAATTATACTACTCCTTTCCACCACAATGCAAGGAAGCTTTTTTAGTCCTAAACTGGTATCTGTCATCAATAGTGAACTGGGTGAAAGTAAACAAATTGAAATTTAATGCAGACAAGACAGAGATGCTCATTGTCACTCAAAAGGCAGATCATGGAATACAGATTCAGCCTGTGCTGGCTTGTGCACCAGCTGCACCCACTCCTTGAGACATTAGATCTTGCTAGTAACACTTGCCTTAGTTAAAACAGCAGCTTCATTTATATACCGCTTCATACCACACCATGGGGGGGTCTAAGCGGTTTACAACAAGCTGGGTACTCATTTCAGCGACCTCGGAAGGATGCAGGCCTGAGTCGAGCCTCAGCCCTGGCAAGTATTGAACTCGCAACCTTGTGGTTTATGAGTGAGTGGCTGCAGTACAGGCATTTAACCACTGTGCCATCAGGGTTGATACATACATTGTAGTTACATACAGTGGCTGCTGGCCTGAGGGTTCCTCAGGGCTTGGTTCTTTTGTTATATGTGGATTATTGCAATATGTTATATGTGAAGTTGCCTTTGAAACGTTTTGAAACTTCAGCTCATCCAAAAAGGTGCAGCCAGATAGCTAATGGGGGCTGGCTACTGGGAACACACAATCTTGTTGCAATAGTTCCACTGGCTGTGGGTCCATTTCTGGGCACAATTCAAAGTGCTGGGTGTGACCAATATATCCCTATAGTTCCATAAACAGATTAGGTCTAGTTAATTTGAAATACTATATTCTCCCTTACAAAACTGTCCGTGTTTCGAGATCTGCTGGGGAGGGCCTTATCAGTGGCTTCTCCCAAGCTCTGGAACTTCCCTCTTAAATAGTTTAGACTGGCATTCGCCCTTCTCTCTTTCTGTATACAGCTGAAGACTCTTTTGTTTCAACAAAACAGAAGGACTGATTGTTTAGGTGAGACAAGACTTGCACAGATTTTTTAGTTGTTATTTTTGTTGTGCTTTTTATGGCTAATGTTTTTAAGTGGGTTTTTAAATAGTTTAATCATTTTTCAACTTACGTATTTTCTGAATTTTTAAAAAAACTATTGTAAGCTGCTTTGAGTCATTGGGAAAAGGTGGGATGATAATGCAGATAATTATAATGACAGTAATAATAAATAATGTAATTTCTAAGATTCATTAATTAAGCAGTCGAATATAGCATTTAGATACACATTCATGCTTATTGTTTTTGTACAAAAGGATAAAATTCTGCAGTTTTACACCTTAAAAAAAGGTGCATGCTGCATTATGAGGACTTTTGCTGCCCCCAGGACACAGACATGGTGGAGGAGGGGAAAAAAATAGCCTAAACCAGGATTTCTCTAATTTCCCCCAATTCATTCCTCCTCCTCTTCTGCTTACTCTTTCTACTCTTTCACAAAACAGGCAATATTCCATATAGGGTTATTTTTATTTAAAAATGGGCAGGCAGTGATACTACGAGAGCCAGCATGGTGTAGTGGTTTCAGTGTTGGATTAGGACACTGGAAGAACAGGGCTTGGATCCCTATTCAGCCATGGAAGCCTACTTGAGCAACTGACACTCTCTCAGACATAGTGGAGGAGGGGGCAAAGGAAGACAAAGGCAAAGGCAAACTCCTCTAAGAGGAAGGTAAAGGCTAAGCCCTGTCTGAACAAATTCTGGCAAGAAAACCCTGTGATATGTTTGCCATGTCAGTAATGATTTCAAGATACACAGCTTCATCATCAACAAGTGATGCTGAAATCCTACCTGTAACATTGATTCTGTCACCAGGCTGAACCTTATCCACTAAATCATTGTGAGCAAAGAGGACGATGGTGTATGGTGTCTGGCCAGCTGGCATATCTTCTGGAGACTCCTGTAGTTTGATCTGACACAAAATCAATGCTTAGTTCAGATGCAACAGAGATTTTTTTTAAATCAGACCAACTAATTCTGAGACATACTGGACGAAAGCATTTCTGTTTATATATTCTTAAGACATAGCTTTTGAGAGTAAAATGCAAACAATGTTGTTCTTCAAAATGAAAAATTTCCAATGCAGAATAAATCCATTTAGGGTTTCAGTGGTATCATCTTGATTTGAGTAAGTAGGGACTGTCCTGCAGTAATCAGCTAAACAGTAGATACAGATTATTTGCTTGAATTTCTGCTATACTGTGTGGGAAGCCCATGGCCTACTTAACTGTGTTTTTAATTGAAACTAAAAATACCCTCCACATGGGCATTTTTAGTAAAAAGGCATAAAATGCATGGGCAGGCAAGTTCACCCAGGCTTAAAAAAAACATTTTAAAGCCAGGAAGTAGTTGGGGCGAAGACAAAAAAAACCCACAGTACACTTGATCCTATATTCTTGGAATGCATGTGGTACATTTTGAATGTAGAAAAACAAGCAGAACATACTCCAAGCCTTGGTTGAATACCAATGGCATCTACCACGATGTAGATTTGTTTCAGATGTAGGAGTAAGAATATTGCTACTTGTAACACAAACACACTACCCGCATAAATAAAATAATGCAGGTTCCAGTATAAGCCTGCCATAGATAAAGAGAAAGGATACCAAAAAAAGGCCATTTTGAAAGGTATAACCTACAGTTTAAAATGAACAGTTTAGCTATATAAGCATATTTAGATTAGCATGTGGTCCAGGCAGGAGGAGATTTGCAAATTTCCAATTGCATAGCATGGACTAACAGTACTAAATTAGTATGCAGAAAAGTATTTCAATATGTTTACAGAACACATATGTGACAGTTTACTGTTGAAAATTGAACATGTCAGAAAATATCAACTGAAGAAGAGATTAACGTACCATCTGTTTATCTGAGAATAGAGAACGATTATGAATCAAAGCCATACTGTGTGTGGTGTTACAATTCTTGCACGCTGCTGGTTCAGCAATCCTGCCACGATCAACTTCTACTCTTGCTGTAAAACCACAGACCTGGCATTTGAAAAAGGCTTCTTGCATTTCTGGTATTAACTGTGAGCTTCTGATCACCATACCACTTATAGTGATAAGCTGGTCAATATCTATGATGTTAAACAAAAAACACAATTATGAAATCAAGTTTCAGTATTATTATGATGTAGTCTTGATTTCCATGTGAAAGCTTGACAATTAAGAGAACTGACAGAAGAAACTGCAACTCATTCAAAATATGATGGAGGAGGCTTTTATGGATAACATGAACCACCAAAAAGACAAATAAAATAGGTTCTAAAGCAAATCATACCTAAATTCTCACTAGAAGCTAAAATGAGTAAACTGAGGTTACTGTACTTTGGACATATCATAAGACATAACTCACTGAAAAAGGCAGTAATGCTGGAAAAAACTCAAGGAAATAGGGAAAGAGGGATTACAGTACAAGTGGTTTGGCAGAAGAAAGCTGCAGCCCTGATGGGCTCACTAGTGTTCACATCTTCTTCCAAAATAGTCAATTTTCTAGCATAATATTGACATTTTGTTACAGATATGACACCTCTTCTGGAATGTCTTTACTTTAACAGATCGATTTAATATGCAACAGTATCTCTGATATCAAGACACTTCTAGCTGAAATAGCTTACCTTCTGGATTCAAGCTTCTCATGTTTCTAGTCTTTAATGCATTATATGGCCTAACTTGAATTTGATGTTCCAGTACAGAGTCAGGATGATGGTCAAAGAAGATTTCGTTAGCAGCCATATCAAATGTTGGAATAACTTCCTGAACAAATTGGATACAAACGAGAAATATACGCCAATACATTTGCATGAGACAAATATATTTTATATACCTGTGTCTATTAGATGGAATCAACACTGGCTATGCTAATGATTACTTTTTTTAAAAAAAAACTTGTAAAGTTGTGTGCAGGGCCATTAGTTTTTCTCTGGCACCTAGTTACCATTGTTATTTTCATTTTATTTTCATGTAGATAACTGAAAATGGACCCAAGGTAGTTGTACCTGTCCAGAGTACTTCAGATTTCTTTTCCAAACAGCCACTCCTAGTGCTGCATCACAATGTATTTTAGTATAAGTTGGAATTGCTAATTATTGAATTATTTTTAATTCTTTCCCCCTTTCTTTTCTCCTTTTATTATTTGTTACTGTCCCCTTTCAAAATCCTAATATTTTAATTTTTTGTTCTGAAATAAAATAATATGGCAACATTTTAACTTTAGGTCTTGTTAATACTGTATTGAAGAACTTACAGAAATGTTTTGTCTTACCTGTGGATAGCACATCAGCTGTCTGTAAAGATTTTCATCAAATGATTTCAGATGGTCACAGTTTACATTTAGGAATGGCTCCCCAATTAAGTTTATCTGGAAGACATTGGATTGGATTATTATTGCAAAAAGCCGACAAACTATCATTTAAATTTTAAAATGCAACCTAGTTTAAACAATAGTGCTGCAACATACCTCCTCTAGTCGCTGCATATATAGAGGCTCATTAAGATCCAACCCAATATTTTCTTCTTCTTTTGCCATTGGATCAATAAAACGCTGAAGAAACCTCTAAACATTTGAGAACAAAAATCAAGTTTTTAGTGTCTAGGTTCATCCAAGAGATTTGGGGTAGGACAGAAGTATTATATGATCATATATCAACAGTTGCTATGTGATTCCAGTGCTTCTTCCCTATGTGATATAGGTGTTATGTAATTTAAGTAAAAGTTATTTG